ACCATCTTTTTCCCTAATAACTCCGAAAAAGTTTGCTATCACATCTTGATTAAGACGTCTTGTTAACAGGTATTGGACGCTGACGCATCGTTTCAGATCCTCTAGAGCAGGGCTGTCCATTATACGGCCCGCGAACTCCTTTCTTGCGGCCCGCTTCACGGGTCATGTATACATCACAAGTATAAATTACTCTCCAATACCGAATATGCATATACCTATTAAAACTCAGTAATAATGTTGTATAGAAAGATTTTATAATGCGGCCCTCCAAACTGCATTTTTTTTTGAAGTGGCGCTTGGGCCACATTAAGTTGGACAGCCCTGCTCTAGAGCATTTTCCAGCAAACACTAGCGCTTTTTACATTGACTTTGTCTTATCTTTTTGTGATCCCACGCACTAGCTTTTTATTCGGTGTTATACGCTCCGACATAGTACGGATAACGAAAATGACAATGTGTCAAGATTGGTTAGATTACGTTTTTTCATCGGTTTTGTTTTTTTTTCTTTAAACTCACATTAAACTGATACCAGACAATGGAGGATGGTAAAAAACTGATACTGTTATGTCCCAGAATCACAACATATATTTGAGATGTCCCTGAATAATAAAGATCATAAGAGAGTTCCAGAAGGCAGGTTCATAGCTGCTTGTAGTCGGCTTCATCCATAACTAGACAGACTAGACACTTTGAAAATAATTTTGAATGTCTACGCTTAAACATGAACTCGACACATTTATCCAGAAGCTTTACAATAAAAATGCAAACCACTGACGAGTTTCGCCATCATTCTAAAAGCATCATCACTCATCAGGCATCAATTGGATAGTCTGGCAATGCTTTTGAAAATAATTGTATGGCAGTGTGATACAATTGTCAACGTCAAAGCAAAATATCAAAAAACAGACTATAATCAAATTCAAGCGGATAACCAAAAGAAAATGGTATTTACCGTTTTGGGTTGGTTTTTCCCGATCCGTTCAAGCGAGTGTGGTTATCAGTTTGGTTATAAGATCCGTGACGTCATGAATCAGCTGTTATATGTCATAGGTATTTACCCAACTCAGGAGTTGTTTTATATTTCTGGTTATTATTTGAAATGTGACAAGTTAGAATTTTGCCGGGTATTGGATGTTGCTCTTGTACTTCAACTTCATTTTTGGGAAACTTGATACAGGCTGACTTAAGTTTTACCATAAAGTGGAGCACCTTTTTAGTTATACTCATCACTGTTATTGGGGACACTTTAAATGTAGTTCCTATGCTTAACAAAGTACCTATCCTGTGTAGCCATATACCACAAGAATATTAAAATATGGCCATATAAAGTCATTACATTGTAGATGATGTCCACCTGTATTTAGTTTTGCTAATATCTTTTTTCATCAGTTCTGCTGAATCAATAAATATTTTCTTTGACATGCGGAAAACTTTAGAGAATTGAAAGTTATCATAGCTACAAAGCCATGGTTCCATCATTAAAAAAAAATCTGAAAAAGAAAACATTTCTCCCATGAATATTATGAAAGGTTTCTTTTTTAAACTTTTCATACACAGTTGTATACGTAGACGAAAAAGCACCGATGATTAAGCGATAATAAAAATAATCAGAGATTATATACGCGCTTTTCTAAAATAAGCAACTTGCAACAAAATCGCGGTAAAAACCAACGCGTTCAAACGATTCGTGTAACTGACGTCATCAACCCGTGTGTCATCTTGAACCATATCATAACCGCGGCACATAACACAGACATTTTGGTTATTCGCTTGGATTTGATTTAAGTTTTTATTATCGCGTTCCCGTGCACATTAATTTGATAGAGCAGTTCGGGAGTGTCACACTCAGTGCTTGAGTGTGACACTCCCGAACTGCAAAGCGGCTCGAATAAATCACAAAACATAATATACACTAATGCTCAACGCAACTGATTACGAGTGTTGCACTGTTAAGGTGCGTATACATATGCGAGCCGAGCGGTTCGCGAGCCGCTTGTGAGCAACTTGTTCGGCTAATTGGGACGGGGTTTATGGTTCCAAACGAACTGCTTGTGATCAGCTCGTGAGCCGCTCGCGACGAGCCGCGGCCTGTCGTTTTTTTCGACGAACACAAAGGAATTCGCAGTGCATATTGGGCCGTGTTTAGACACGGTTCGTTGTTTTTCTTTAGCTCGCGAGCGAACTTTATTTTTCTTCAATAAAGTTATGGATTCATGGTCGGAAGAAAAAATATTATGACTGATAAACGTTTATAAAATCAAAACGTTATTATGGGATCCTAAAAATGAAACTCACTTCAAAAAAAATTTGAAAGAGGAAGCTTGGCGGGAAATTGCGGATGAAATGGAAACCACTGCTGAACAATGCAAAAAGAAAATAATAAGCCTCTTAGTTTCTTTCCGCCGGAAGAAAAATAAAACAAAGCAGGGGACTAGTACAGGAAAAGGTAAATACATGAAATAATTAGATATTAGTTGTGTTTTATTTAAATAATAATACAAAATATTTTTGCTAATACTAATTTAATTTTTACTTCAACTAAATAATATGTTTTTAATTAAGTTAGTTCACTTGCCGTATATAATTTTAATCTCGATTTTAATTTTCAGGAAGAGATGAAGTTTATTGCAGCAGATGGTTTGCCTATGAAGCATTTAGGTTTTTAGAAATCAGAGATTTTCCACGAAAAAGACTTGCTACGGTAAGTAATTATTGTTATAAATTCAAGCATATTGGTCCTGCCATTCTAGAGCTCCATTATTTATAAAATAATTAGCGATTTCATCTCTAACTTTTGTACAATAGTTTGTGGAGCTTCGAGAAATATTTCGTATAGGTACCATAGACGTCATATCTCCTTCATTTCTCCATGATCCCTCAGTTAAATTTCCATTAACTTCATAGTCTAATGTGTCAAAAGGGGTATAAATATTTGGTGAGTGTTTTCTGAGATGATTATACAAAAGAATGACTGTCATTATAACCCACTCTGCTTTTGCTTTTGATATACCGAATGCGTTTTCAACTATGCGACGACCCCTACTCAAACGATAATTGAAAATTCGTTGAGGAGTTCCTTTTGGAAAGTCCCCAGTATAGGGCTTCATGAGATTTTCGCTTAAAGCAAATGCGCTATCGCCGGCAAAAAAAATACGGTATTTGCATAGAACATCCTTCTAGTGCTTCTGGTGTTGGAAGTCCTAGTCTGTTTTCTGTAAGCTGCTGATATAATTTGCTTGCCTTAAATACCCCCCATCAGAAATTCTTCCTTGGCAGCCTACGTCAGCAAACATAAAGTTATAATCACCATCAACCAGTGCGAAAAGCATAATACTAAAATTGGATTTATAATTGCAGAATTCGGTACCCGATTTCACTGGTGCTTGTAAAACAACGTGTTTTCCATCTAGGGCACCAACACAATGAGGAAGGTTCCAACGAGTTTCAAATATCTTGCTAACTTGTTTCCAAGCTGTGGGAGTCTTAGGTAGCTGAAATGAAATAACAATTATTAATTTTGACCTGTTTTATTCATTATTAGCTTATCTTAATAATTTATTTATTTAATATCATTTTTTGCGCTACTTCTTTGGTGTATTTTGGAATAAGATAAAACCCCCCAATTTCATTATTTATAAACTACATATAAAGTTACTGAAAATGTATTTAATAGGAGCTGGATGATGTTAACGAAGCTGCCCTATCTTCCGAACAAATGGAACAAGAGGCGATACCAGAGACACCTACGCTACCATCTACCTCCAAATCTACAAAGCGATCAAAAACAAAACAAGATAATGTTTCCTCTCCAATAATGAGTGATGCATTTCAGATTTTGAAGAATTCAACATTCTGTTTTTGACCTTATTATTAAAGCTGATAGAGGATTTCTTAATCCGACTTCAATTCAATCTTACAATGATTCTCAACCTACTTCCTACATACAGTCACAAGCTACCAATCATATCAATTCGCAACCTACTTCTTCGATGTATTCCCAACCTACTTCACATAATCTATATTCTCAATCTTCTGGAACTTCACAACCACTGCAAGTAATAACCGTTCCTGCAACTTCTGAATCATCATTGTCCAACCCATCATCGCTACAATCACCTGTTTCGTCACTCACATCAGAAAATTATGAAGATTTTGTGTAACGTTTTTGAGTTCTATTTTTTGTGTGTTAACTTAGTGGTGGAAATTACTTTAAAGTGAAGAAAAATATATTTTTGAATTACACACAGGCCTTTAATTTATATATTAATGTTGTTACCTTGATATATCCATGCAATTCCTTAATCAGTGCAGCACAAACTTGGGGTACTACACGCCCAATCGACTGCTTGGAAATTCTGAATGGATACTGAAGGCTAGTATATGAATCTCCCGTGGCAAGAAACCGAAGTGTTACGGCTAACCTAGAATATTAATTTAAAAAAATTATTAAAAAACAAATCTACCTGTCCACGGTACACCGACTTACCTATCTTGGGCAGAGATTGGAGTACGAAAATAAGTCTCCTGTTTTGAAATATGGGGTCCAATCCTTTGCAGCAGATTCTCAAAGTCAGTAGGTGTCATTCGAGTGAAATTTTTATACTGTCCGCTTATTTCTTGCGACTTTAGGTCCATTAAAATTCCCGTACCACTGCGTTTCTTGAGTAAATTAGTACGCCACCAACGTCGTTGTCTTCTCTTTTTTTATTTACATCAGCCATTACTAAAACTGCAGCACTCATCACTAAAATAGTATAATTTTCGTTTCGCGAAGCCATACTGCATTTGTCGACTGCGATGTTTGTTTGCGTTTGGTGCGCTGAATCTGTGGATCGCTGGAGGTTCGCGGAAAAAATCATTTCAACGAACCACCATCGAGCGGCTCACAAGCGGCTCGCGAACCGCTCGGCTCGCGAACCGCTCGGCTCGCATATGTATACGCACCTTTATGAACTATGAACAAGGAAATTGAAGTATCCCATCTGGCAACAATGTAAATTGTCGAGTATCTCTCGCTACCTCAAGCTTACGCCTTACGCTTTACTTTGTCACTGTCACTATCGCAGGTTTCGCCGTTTCGTACGGTAGTCTAGTGATGTCCGTGATCGCCGCGATCACCTTATAAAACCAGAGTTCAAAAATGCTGTCACCCAAATTTAAACTATGACAATGCGGCCCACCAATTCCTACTAAATAATACATTCAAATTTCACTTTATTTGATTATACCTTACCACCGTTTTATTTTGCTCACACTATCATCGACATAACCTAATATTCTGTGCGTGTTTTGAAAATAAGAAAACGAGTGCCACAATGGAAACGAATACGCAAAATTACAAATTATACAAGTTAGTGCTTACTGGTGGTAAGTTAAGACTGATCAATTTTCATGGACATTTTGTTTACCGCCCCATATCGATTTTCCACGTGTCAACAATTGTGTTTATTCCAGGGCCATGTGGCGGAAAAACTACCGGGCAAGCCAGGCTATGCACCTTTTTCGAAAATCTGGGCTGGAAGGTGAGCATCACTTGAACATTTTTGGGAACTATATCACATTTTGCCCATAGGCCCAACTAGATGGTTAGGTTTTTGAGCTGAGCTTACTGCAAAAGCTGTTCTTTTGTTTTTGCTGCTGACAGCCTCGAATTTGAGAGTTTGTCAGGTAAATCAAACAGAGATGAGATGAATGAGACTATGATCCATACATTCTAAAAAAAGTGCAAAGATAATAGCTCTGAACCTCTATAAAAATGATGAAACCATTTTATGCCAATATTCTAGATACAGCTTTGTACACTGAAGAGAAAAGAAATCTATCTAGCCATAAAACAGAAGACACAATTGTTTTGACAATTTCATTTTTCAATATAACCCCCCTTATATCAGTGCATTAGCACATTTCTTCTCCAGTGATTGTGTACCCTTATAAAAAAATTTCCTCTTGACTCTCAAAAAAGCTGTTGATGGCTGCTTTTAGGCCATCATTTGAGTCAAATCAGTGTTGTTGAAAATTTTTCTTGAGTGGTCTGAAGAGATTAACCCTTTCGGTACGGCTTGTCACTGAACATTTTTATTCCTACGGCCTGAGACTTTTACATTGGTCATTGGCCTGCCGTCGGAAATATCCGTCACCTAAGAAAACTACCCACATTTTATGAAATAATATGAGCAAGTTATATTAAAACAATTATTTTATTAGATAAAGTTACAGAAAACATAAACACATTAAACATTAGAACATTAAACATTAAAAAGTAGCCTTTGTGTGATATATTTTGAAGCAAGGGACCACGCATAATCCAACGTCACATTCTGGGCACATATAGCTGGACTCTTTTCTTTTTGCTTGTTTCTGCTTTGTATGGGAACAAACCCAACATCTTCTGGATCCAACCTTAGTACTGCCTGGTTTTCGTGGAACTGACACCGGAAAGTGTCTATTCTGAAGCCTGGCATTGCCCAAATCGCAATGTATAGATTTTACTATGCCATACCTGCAAAAAAAAAGCATTTAGCAAATATGATCGAAAACTACAAAGAAATCTTTACCTTTCTATAAGTTGAGCAATAACCGCTAGATGAAAATTGGCGAATGAAGTCTTCTTAGTATGTCTTGTGGAAAACATTGCATGTGCGTTTAGCAATGTTATGTCAATCGAATGGAAAAATAACTTCTCATACCATTTCAGACATTTTCGAGTGCAATCTACGCTACTCAGCATCATATCTGATCTGTCGACAGCCCCCATTTGACGGTTGTATTCCAGAACACATAACGGCTTTATTACATTTTCATATGTAGATCGATTTATTTTCGGCAAAGTAACCATTCTATTTTCATGCATACTGGTCAGCATCACAACATCCCGCCGATCTTTCCATTTTATTGCCAATAAATTTTCACTACTTCTCCAGTCAGTATCTCCTTGTTTTAATTTTTTATCAAATACTGGCATATGTTTCCTATTTTGCCTTACAGTTCCACAGGAGTTTGTTTTATGTTGTAACAAAAAAGTTGACAGTGTAGGGCTGGTGTAAAAATTATCCGTATAAAGAGAATGTCCCTTGTTGAGGTATGGCTCTAAAAGTTTTGCAACAACGGCCCCTGTAGTACCAAGATTATTCTTGTCTTCTGCTTTTATATTAGTGTCTTTTCCACAATATATTATAAGGTCTAAGACAATTCCTGTTTCGCAATCACACAACACGTAGAGTTTAATTCCAAAACGATGTTTCTTGGTCTTGATATACTGTTTAAAACTGAGTCTTCCTTTAAAAAGAATCATACTCTCATCTATAACCAAATTTTGAAATAGATAGAATTGAGACTGGAAATTTTCTTTCAATATATTTAGCACGTTCTCAACTTTGAACAATCTATTACCAGGTGGAGCGATTTCATTATTGGAGAAATGCAAATACCTTTGTAATTGAAAATACCTGTCCCTTGACATATGTTTGCTAAATGCAGGTGAAAGCAGTAAGTGGTTTTGGGACCAATATTCCTTCAAGTTCACTTTTTTATTGCGAGGCATGAGCAACGTCAAAGCCAGAAAAACGTAAAATTCGGAACGTTCTAAATGCTTCCAGTTTTTTGCATTTTGTTGGCGTGCATAATTATTTGTTTCATCCAAAATAACATCCACTATGTTTTCTGTGAACAAACTAAGAAAATAGTCGACTTCCTTTGAGTTTTCGTCGAGGTTTTGGTCTTTTACACCGCTATTGGTCGTGTCAAATTCGTGTATTTTCGGTAGAAACTCATTTTTTGTCCAAATTATTTCCAGAACTGTTTGGTGAGTAATATTATCTTCAACGTTTCCTACCTCTTCCTGCTGATTTTCTTGTTCATTTTCCGGTTCCAATTCATCCAGATCGCTCTCAGAGTCCTCAGAAGATGGACAATATTCGCTTCCGCTATCGAGAAAGGGGTCTTCTTCACTAACGTCAGACAAGTAAATATCTTCATCTACCAGACTTAAAATACTATTGACTTCCTCCTCAGTTAAACCACAATATCCGCTACAATCTACTTTACGCCTTTTCGGCCGCTTAGTGCCCTGAGACGAACTGGCCTCCTCGTTTGACATGATCGAACGAACTGACGCTTCTGAAGCTTACGGTACATGGCATGCTACCATGCTCGACTGCCGTCGGATATTTCCGACATTGACGGGTTATTCCGACAGCAGGCCATCCACAATGCGTTATACGTCGGATAAAGTCGTCGGCAGTCTCTCGGTGAATGTAAGTTTTCAAAAGAGTCGGAAATAAACGGCACAAGTGTCATTAAACAAAATAACCTTGAACGGATATATCCGTCACCAGGCCGCAGGGCCATATTGCTTCCTGTCGGGTATATCCGGCAACCGTACCGAAAGGGTTAAAATCAGGAGGAGCCAAGTTGGGACTATAGGGAGGATGGTCCATCTCATTGTTGTTGGATTTTGACATGATTGGTCTAATTTTGGCAGCCATATGCATGGTTGTATTGTCATGCAGCAGAAACACTTTTATTATGGGTTCTATACTGCTTTCTGACATATCTAAGGCCATACTAATTGCCGAGACCTTTACACAACAATATTCTAGAACCATGGCTTCATCTTTTTGAGTAAAATCATTTTTTGCTGTTTTTTGGATCTTCAACTTGTGAGATCATCATCCATGGATTCATGCCCCCATTGAAGCTGTTTTGACCAAAATTTTATTGTGTGATATTCTCTCATGAATTGTTTTTAGCTAGCCCTCTTGTCAGAAATTTTATGATACTGTGATACTCTAATTTTAAGTTTCACAATTAACAAAAAATGACAACATTTTTTTTAAAGTGCAAGTGCACATTAGTGGCATTGACTATTTTATGTTTACTATACAATGCTATAACATATTTACTTAATCTACTTTTCAAAACATGGATCATAGTAATCATGTGCTCTACTCTATAGCTGCTTATAATAAACTATAATAGCTTTATTTTGTAGTAGCCTTTTCTTTTGTTGTGCCTATGATATGATTATTTTTTGTTTGCCCTTATAAAAGGGTATGGTGAACATTTTTGCCAAAAATTAATTTTTACAGGTATTCCGGGTACCTGAAACTGCATCGGTACTCCTCAGGTATGTTTGCCCTTCATTTCATGTATCATCTTCAAATTATATCAAACTATGCAGGTGCTGGCTGTACCTGTTTAGTACATGACATTAGAAATTCTAAGGAAAACCTGTTTATATCAAAATTTTCTGAAACAGGTCAAGGCCTCATTCAATTTTGATTGGGATTAATGTTTTTTTGATTGATTCCATAAGATTGTAAAATCCTGCATACATACATAACTCCATATATGGTTGTTTTAAAGCTTGTGCATTATAAGTGGAATTTTTACTTTACATTTTGATAGACATCTCAGCAACTACTACTAAAGCTCTAGCCACATTAGGCCAAGAAATATATACTAAATGACATATAAAATGTTAATAATGTGTTGGAGCTCCTCTGTTCGCTACACATCAATCGGATTAGGTGATTGATGTCCTCTTGATCTATTGTATCCCAGGCCATCTGAATTAGGTTTCGTGGAGCCTCCAATGTTTGTGGAGGGTGCGGTGAGTTTTGCAACTTTCTTCCCATCATGTCCCATACATGTTCAATGGGAGAAAGGTCTGGAGATCAAAGAAGCCACTGAAGCAGATTTACTCCGGGTGCTTCTAAAAGGTCTAAACTAACATGTGCGACGTGAGGTCGTGCATTGTCCTGCTGAAAAAGTGGATCATTCAATGTTTCCAAAAAGGGAAGCACATGAGGTTGTAAAATTTCGTGGATATAACGCTGCTACCTCGCATGAACACTAATCGTGACCTGCTGCCGTAAGCAATAGGACACCATACCATAATACCCACAGTGCGATGGATATGCTGATGGAATATTTTCACCACGTCTCCTTACTCTTGCCCGGCGTTCATATGTGCCCAAACAGAATCTGGACTCATCGCTGAACACGACTGAGTTCCATTCCATATTCCATTCAAGTCTCTCCCTACTGCATACAAATCATTGCCAGTGATGCTGTGGGTCAGATGTAGTACAAGATGAGTACTGTATGAAAACAGTCCGAAAGACCTTATTTAGTGATAAACTGACCTCATTGTCATTGCCCTTCCGACTTCCGACAGCATCAAAAAACTGTTTCGCAACTGCTCTTGTGGAAGATCGATCTCGTAGATGCTAGTTATCTCAAATAACGGTCTGTATTCTATCTTTGACGTCCAGTACCTCTAGCTCGTCGATTTCGGCTTTCTAGGAACCATGCTCGACAACTCATTACATTTGCTTCGTTTCGATTCACTCGAATAGCGATTTCTCTAAAAGAAATTAGCGGGTCTGCAAACTTTAGGCATGATAATGCAATGAAACAAATGGAACCAACTCAGAAAAATTATTGAATGTTAAGTAAACATGTTCATATTTTTCGAATCCTGATGACAAAAAAGCCTTAAAAAAAAGTTCGGCTCAGAATGCCTTCAACATCAGCGTATACTTCCATGATAGCAAATATGTTTACAAGTGTTGATAAAAATTCAATAAATAATTCTGGGTGTTGCATTTTATATGTCACTTGGTATACATCTTCAGTCAAAAAAGCTGAAGAGTTCGAGAAATCTGTACTTACGAGGTTTGCAAAAATATTGCTCATTGGGGGAATAAAAATGGAAATACTTTTCAGCAGGAATTTTAGCACAAACCAATATCGGTTCGTAGCCCATTTTTCTCTGTTCAAATTACTCAGATTCTCTGCATTATCATTTAGTTACCAGTTAGCAACAGTGTACATATACTAAGTGACATATAAATCCGAACACCCAGTTTAAATGGTTTTATTTTAATAAAATTTTGTATAAGTACTTAATAAAGCATAATAAGTAAATGATAAAAATTTCAAAATGATTGCACTGCTTTGAAGCCCTTTGACCTTTAATAATGTGTGGATGCACCCTGATGTGCTACGCATTCTCCAACGCGCCTAGGCATGCTTCTGATCAGGTGGTCAATGTCCTCCTGTGGTATCTCATTCCAGGCAACCACCAACTCCTCTCGAAGTGCTTCTCGAGTCTGAGGAGGACGTTGCAAATTGAGCAATCTCCTACCCATCATATCCCAAACGTGCTCAATTGGGGATAAGTCGGGAGATCTTGGTGGCCATGGTAACAATGTGACATCATTATGTTGAAAGAAGTCTATTGTGACTCTTGCAACATGTGGTCAGGCATTATCTTGTTGGAAAGTTGGATCTGCCAGGGTGTCAAGATAGGGTAAAAGATGGGGTTCTAGAACTTCGTCGATATAACGCTGCGCGTTCATGTTTCCTCTGATGAAGATTAAAGGTGACCTGGAACCATAAGCTATAGCACCCCAAACCATAACTCCAACAGTGTGATGAACATGTCTTTCAACAAAAAACTGTGGATTCCTCCTTTCACCACGTCGCCTTCTAACCGACCATCGTGCATGCCTAAACAAAATCGAGACTCGTCACTAAAGACAATACTGTTCCATTCCTGATCCCAGAGTGACCGTTGTCTGCACCACTCAAGGCGATTACGTCGGTGTTCTCGAGTTAAAGGGCTGGTGTGAAAACAAGCCAAAACTTCTCATTCGTCGGTAAACACTTCGCATGCCAATAGGTCTTCCGTGTTCTGCAAACCATTCATTTGCAATGGACCTGGTAGTGGAGAAACGGTCCCTTAAGGCCAATAATCTTAGGCGGCGATCTTCACGGTCTGTTGTTCTACGGCGGCGTCCAGTGCCCCTTGCTCTTTGCGTACTGCCTTCTCGAAGCCATGCCTGACAACACCTAACCACAGTGTCTACACTTCTTTGCACTCTAACTGCAATTGCCCGAAAAGAAGGTCCAGCTTCCCGAAGTCCCACTATACGGCCCCTATCAAACTCACTAAGTTTACGAAATCGTACAGGTCTCCGTACTCTAGGCATCGTAACCGATCGTAAAGGATGTCAAGAACCAAAATCCGCCAACGTTGATTCTATACTGCGGCTGAAATATTCATTTTTAGAGCGTTAGTGAATTAAAAAAAAGCAGTATAAAAACCGGAATGTCCAACTGATAAGGCTGAAAATTTTTTCACTTGTTATTTACAGTAAGATAAATACATTCACCAACTTTTATTAAAATAAAACCATTTAAACTGGGTGTTCGGATTTATTTGCCACTTAGTATATCTTATCAGATATCTAATATTATACTTGTTTTACATTGACAATGAATCCATGGATTTATACATTTATTCAATTCATGGTGAAATTTAAAATGTATCAAACAGGAATTCTTTATGTAATCAGAACCTGTTCTAAATTTTACCAAGTTGGTTGTCTAATTCCATAGTGCGTACGTTGTTCTACTTTCCATTATATTAAACATCTTTCCAGTTCAAGTATAAAACTGTGATAGAACTACAATTCAACAATAAGGTTTCTCTTTGTGAGATTCCCCTTGAGATCAAAATCACAATAAATATAAAAACTCAAACCTTTTCTATCAAAAATTTGTTTTGTGGTTTGCACTGTTGACAGCAATGTGTACTGCCAGATAATTTATGAAATTGTTCATTGATGTAAAACACTGCAAAACATCAGGATGACTGTGAGGAAATCTATCCGAATTAATGCCAATTTGCTTGTAGGCCAAGAATAGTGAGATTTTGTACAAGTACATCCTACAATTTTTGCGACAGTAATTTTTTTGGTATCTTAAGATTATTGTTCCCTAATTATAATAATTATAAGATCAAATTGGCGTCATGATAGAGCAATGCCACCATTTTGATGGAAAGTCTCGAAAAAAAAAAACGATCGATGTAAAAAAGGTAATAGTAACGTTTTGTAGGGAATTGTTTCGATAAAAATGTCTCGTATAGTGATCAGATTATAAGAAATTAAAGGGTAAAGGTACATATAATGCTTATAATGGCTAAACTAAAAATGTATATCAAAACAGTTGCGTGACATAATCCACGCGCTACGTAACGTACGTTGTCCACGTTATCCATACACAACATTTCAGGTGGAGATAACTTCATGAAAATTATATGATCAAGAGTTTTAAAGCGAACTCATTTTTGTACTACTACGTGCAAGTATGGAAAAAGTAATATTTTTTTAATGTAAGATGAGATGTAATAGATAATGCTGGTTTATGGCAACACTCGCTTTCGATTAAAATTTTTGCAATGGTCTTGAGACGACGCAGCGGCAAAATGGCCAATAGACTAACTGATGGAAGTGAATGACTCGCATTTTCATGATGGAGACATCCCAAATTTCTGAGAATATTACATTTTCCATACTTACACGTGGCAGTAATAAAATGGATTCACTTTGAAATGATATTTTTGGTCGTAGATAACGACTTATGGAGTTATCCACGTTTTTTCAGGTTTTTTTTGAGCACTCCGAATAAAATAGGCTTCCATTAACTTTTCTCTAAAGCTGGCCATTTTTAAAATATAAGCGATGCAATGCCTGAACAGCCCTAAAAATGGGGATATTCAATGCTTCAAAATTCTGTTAAGAACTATAATTTTCAAGATCGCCAAGTATCTGAAATGAAGTTTAAGCCTTGCTTTACAAGACCTTGATGGGTATTTTGAGATCACACCGTGTCTGTTAGGCCAAAATTGTCGAACTTTTAGTTTTCACAGACTGCCGCAGCGAGCGGAGTTTATCGCGCGACTGTTATGATACGAATTTTTAACACTCAGTCCATACACTTCAAGAAGCATCAATGTGTTGATTTTGGAAATTTTTATACTATACAAAAAATATAGTAATATTTATATGCTTAAGTTACTAATTTAGCCATTATAAGCGAAAATAGCATGTATTTATCGTAACCTGTTGACTGTATGCAATTTTTTTTAAAGAAGCGCAATGAACGTAATTCCCTACAAAATTATTACTTTTTTACATGGGATCGACGCTATCATGACACCAATTTGGGCTCATCATTAGAAAGCAATAATCTAACGATTCCACTAAAATTAGAGAAAAACGTACTTGCTTCCTGACCTATATGTGGCGTTGGTATGCTACTATTTTTTGCGTAGAAAACATTGTTTTATTAGGTTTCATCCAAAACTCACTTCATAATCATCATTGAAATCAACTTTAAACTATTTAGCTTCTTCCATTGTCAAAAAATAATGTAATCTAATGGTCAGTTTTAATTTTGAAAATTGACTATTGTACAGTATAATTTTGAAAGTGTTTCACAGAATTGGATATTTCATAATTATGTGAATGTGTAGGTGTTTTGTCATTATAATACAGTGAAAGCTCTCCTTGCGGACAGCTCCTATAAGCGGACATCTCTTTTAACCGGACAAAGTTCCTGGAACCGAATTTCAGCCATCAATTTTCAATGTTAAATGCATTCCGATAAACGGACGCTCTTATAAACGGACGCGGACACTAGATTTTCCTGTATGTGATCAAAAATCTCCCATAAGCGGACGCGAAACTCTAATACCCGACGACTTTTTAGTTCCGCTTATTGCAATGCACATATCTACATACATAAAATTCGGTAATTCTCCGATTCTATATTAGGTGATTCCCCATTTACGCATTTCGTTGGGTAGCCTGTATGTAATCTTGTGGCTTGTCTTCAGTTCAGGCAAATTCGTAGTTGATTGAGTTACGTATTTTATTATTGTAACTGTAAAATGGCACCAAAAAAAAAGGATGCTCTCGTTAAAGGAAAAGATGGAAGTTGTTAACGTATTAGACAGAGAAAGTGTTTCAGTTCGTCATTTGGCAAAGAGGTTTAATATTGGGAAAACGCAAGCAGCTGAAATTGCCAAAAATAAGGAAGATATCAGGAGTAAATGGCAATCAGGAACTAATATAAATCAAAAGAAGGATTTTTTAAAAAAGGAAGGTTTTGCTATAGACAAAACATGTTTTGAGTGGTTTGTGAAAGCTAGAAGTCAGAACATTCCAATCTCAGGGCCGTTAGTGAAAATGAAAGCTAAAGAAATCGCCACTACTTTGGGCTATAATAATTTCAGTGCGTCCGACGGGTGGCTGCAAAAGTGGCGCAAGAGACATAGTGTGAGTTTCAAATGCATATCTGGCGAAGCTGCTGCAGTAGATCAAGTTGATGTGTCACAATTTTTGGAGAAACTTCCGTCCATGTTGCTTGGCTACAAACCAGAAGATGTGTACAACGCAGATGAGAGTGGACTTTTTTTTCGCGCATTGCCCGACAAAACTCTGTGCTTTAAAGGAGAAACATGTGTGGGTGGAAAGTTGTCTAAAGATAGACTAACCATTTTATTCTGTGCAAATATGGCCGGTGAAAAATGCGATTTGATTGTGATCGGGAAAGCGGCTCGTCCCCGTGCTTTAAAAAACGTTGCTATTAAGGATCTACCAGCGACTTGGAAATCCAACAAAAAGGCATGGATGACCCGAGAAATCATGTCTGAGTGGTTAGTCGAATTCGACCGGAAAATGAGAATCCAAAAAAGGCAAGTTCTTTTATTTTTAGACAATGCATGCTCTCTTCATCGTGATATGAAAATGAAAAATGTGAAAATTATATTTTTACCGCCAAACACAACTTCTGTTTGTCAGCCCATGGATCAAGGTGTCATACAGAACTTTAAATTTTATTATCGGCACTTGATTTTAAAACATATTTTAACAAAAATTGACGATGGTCAAAGCTTATCTGAGCTTACAAAGTCTATCAATGTGTTAGAAGCTTTGTATTTTATAAAAACAGCATGGAATAAAGTAAATTCCTCTACAATTAAAAACTGTTTTGGCAAAGCTGGATTCAGAAAAAGTGAATGTAGCTCAGAATTTGCTGAGCAAAATTATTGCGATGCTGAAGACGATCTGCCCTTAGCGACACTTGCTCAGTTACTGCGACATGCCACATTTAGGAGTAGCAGATCCCCAGAAAGTAGATGATTTCCTGGCCATAGACAATAACATAACAACAGAAAAAAATGCCATTGGCAACTTTTCGAATTTGGATGTAGAAAGCCCAGGCCAACTTGAATATGGTAGTCCAAACGACTCAGAAGAAGAAGTGGAACTGGTGGACTCACTAAGCGGTTCAAAAACGATAAATTCATATGGGGAAGCTCTAAATCATATTTCTATATTGAAAAAATTTGCTAAAGATGATTTCACTGCCTTTCAACATTTGAAAAATTTATAAAGTTATTACGAAAATTGTCTCCTTCAGCAAAAGATGGTGAAATTTCGTCAGACAAACATTTTAAACTTTTTTCAACAAGCTAAAGAATAATGTTTTTTTTTTAAATTCTCGTACCATGTATTGAAGCATTTATGTTTTTGTATGCGTATATGTACATATATTTATAGATATATAGCATAAAACATACTTTAAAAATGTGGCGAGTTTCTGTTTCATTTTTCTCATGATTATAATACCTCATTTCCTCATGATTATATACCCCGTTATTATACTCTATACTTACATACTCTCTTTTAAACGGACACCTCCCATAAGCGGACAAAAGTTACGGAACCGTGAGTGTCCGCTTATGGGAGCTTTCACTGTATATTCTTCAACAAAACCAATAATTATTGCAATGTTTTTATTACCAGAATCGTACATGTGTCAAAAAACAATTACGGTTTTAAGAATTTCCGAAAAATGGTTTATCGTATTTTCTAGGTGACGCTTTCTGATATATGGCAATTATATTAGGAGTTTTACATTACTTTTATTCTTACTCAGCATATTACCATAAGTTTTTTCTAATTGTATACACAACCCATTAAAGCTGAGGTTACAACTTATAAGAAACATAACCAAAGGCATAAATAGTAAGTGTTACCTCAGAAGTTCCAATTATTTGGACAAATCGGTATATTATCATGGGTTTCATTATACTCACATTAATTTTCTTATTTCGTTTTTTGCAGTGGTGGAATCAAGTTCACTGATTTGGATGACAAAGAAGGTGAGTTTTCGTTTGTGATTTCAAAGTACAATATCCAATCAGCCCATTGAAGTACAGTTCTTAAATACATAGTTAATTTCACCCATATGACAATATGGAAATCGCGACTGGGGTTGACTCAAAGTATGAAAAGCTTTGATACATTATGAGTCACAACAAAGACATGGTATAGCCGCATAATTGGAAGGCGTTCTGATCTTACGTTGATCGGTTTATAACGTCTCAAAGAGGTGATAAAAGTCTAACAATAGTTGATGTTTACATTTTCGTTTTATCTTGACCACGTAATCAGTGGTTTTGTCAACGTATCATTTAGCATGCGCTTCTCGGGACGATAACTGATGCCAATTTATTATTACTACTATACTGTTGCTGATTCTCGCGTTGACTACAGTTTATACATTTTGCCGGGACTTAGTGTCGATAGCATTGAATACCAGAAAATAATCTTATCAACTTAATTAGTTCGTGACTTTCTTCTGGCCCCCCTCTCCCCCTTTTCTCATACCCTTGCAAATTGATAATAATGTGCCTTCTATCCAACTTTGCATACAAAAGAAAACAAAACAATAAAAGCGCAAAAGTGTAAAATTGAAAAGGTGGAGTGTTACCCTATGGGTAATTCCCCTAGCACAACAATGAAATGGGTTTTAGTGTTCATCAGTAGCGGGTGTTGCCTCGGATCATGCCAGCGGCCGCAGATATTCTTGGCAATCTTGAAATGATAATATTTTAATATGATTTAGGGCCGGTTTCACCATTTGACAAACCTTTATTCTGCACCAATAGAGGACGAGTACTAAACAGTCCGTCAAATATACCCAATCAGCCTCAAGATCTCTTCGTCAAATTTATGGCTGCAAATAGCATCAAAGGATTCAAAACAAAACGCTGTAAAATATGAAGTGACAGTTTGCCATTGAAATGTTATCAGTTTATTAAATATTATGAAATTATATAAAACTGAGCCAAAATTAAAAAAAATGCTTGATAGCTGAGTAAAATCCATTTTTTTCAGTTTAGCTGAAGGTTTCTCCATGTTTATTGCAACTTTTATAGTCCTTATGTGATTATATTAACTCAACATCACCTACTGGGTGTTGATAGTTTATCCTACTTTTGCAAACTTGCACTTCCAAATTCTTACATGAAAAAGCCTTTTCACTCAAATTTTTGTTAGGTGTTGCGTTTCAACACATTTTGACACCACTGGTCCGAAACTGTTCAAGATTTCATTCATACATTCAATTGCAGTTGCAGTTTTCTTATTTTGATTTCAGTGTGTCAGTTGCACCATCGGTGATGGTACATGGTACAACATAACCACGTATTTTGGGGTTAGTGCAGATTTAACTGTACACGACAGTGTAATATGTAAGATCTTGCAGCGAGCACTTTTTATTCCGAAAATCCATTTTTCAGAAATACAATAAGCTCAAAACAACAAGTGTCAAGTGACCACAAAACATAGACTACAGTAGCGTTGGAAAATAGACCAAAGAAGAATTGACATTTGAAATTAGTGTCTCACCATGTTAGTGATGGGAGGATACATTTGCAATCAATGGAATGCATTGGAACGGTTAAAAGATATGAATTGAATCGTTTTTACGTTATCTCGACTGACAGACTGGAATATCTGCTCTGTTTCGGTACATATATTTTTTGTGGTATTGTTGCATAAAGTAGTTTGTTCACGAACCAGTTACTAGAACTGAATGCAACTTAATGCAAAGAACTAGAAAGCACACATCACTATTTCAAGTAATCCAAGGAGCGACAAATTGTCATTTCATCGCACTAGTGATGGGAGAATCAAAAGCCTGGGATTCGCTTTGCTTCTGTGGCTTAGACATATACTGTTTTCTTCTGATAAAATTAGCGCAGTTTTTGTGTTTAAAATACTCTACCGTAGTTAATATCTTTGATCCTGAAGTTGCTCCCAAAAAACATTAAACAACTCTCATGTCGTGTCGCGTGCAGTAATCTGTCAATGAAGCATATTTTTCGTTTCTTTGTCCTTTCCGTGTTACTATGATGAATCATCGAAAAGAATAATAGTAAACCACGAGCAAATAGCACGGCTGCATTCAAAGATGGAAATCGAGGCAGTCAGTAGACAACACCAGCCCGAGTTGCTTCAAGTTCTGTATGTTTCTATACTGAGTAAAACACTAGTTCAAAATGCGCACCAAAAAAACATGAATATATAAATTGGTTCTGTTATAAGAATTTGGAATATGCACCAGCCCAACACTGGCTTCACTGAAAGAAAACGCGATTGAATAGCTTGGTAATATGTAACAGTTTAGACCAGACACGGGTGATTTCAGTAGCTTCTATTTTGGCCACTTTCTCAGTTATAATCTCATCTCACTTCAAGTTGCCCCACATGTCAGAGAATTTCCACTTTCCCCCGCGCCCCTGGAGCCTGTGGTTCTCGATACTTGCTTCCGAAGGATTTTTTACTCGCTTGAATGTTGGCTACGTTTATATATTTTCTGGAGATTTTCAAATCTTTCAAAGATTTTTCAGACCTTTGGATGTTCTAGAAATTCACCGATGTCAATAAAACATTTTCATACAACACTTAAACCTGATTTCGACAGATGTTTCATGCATGTCAGATGGAATTCTTATTTGACTGTTCCTTAGTCCCTTCTGGTACCTAAGAAAAATCACTTTCCCCGTTTGCAGTGTGCTAACTCATTCAGTTATTTTCGTGCACCGATCAGTATGAATAAAATGTCACGTGACATCTGGACAAAACAACACTGTTGCCAGACTTAGCGATTTCCTGTATTTTTTCTCCACTTGTCCGCTGTCTATTTCCAGCATTTTTGGCTACATTGGTAATTCAATTAATGTTCGCCTTTTTTACACTTAAAGCCTTTTCAAGTGCCGAACGCAACTAGTGATTTTCCTGCGCTATCTCCCCAGCCAACATACAATGGAAGTAAGAAGCTTTTACTGTAGTAATTTTTTTTTGTACGGAAGCAGCCGGGTCTGTATGGCAGGTACATCGCGCGGCGGCATCATGGAAGAGAACTTTGAGGAGCAAAGCCCGTTGGTGTAACCGTAGAAGAGAACTTGATCGCCGACGGCCGCCGGTGTGAAAGAGTCCCGAGACTGTTTGTTAGAGAAGAGTCATCGATCAGTCGGACAGCCCTTCTCTGGACAACATCGGGCATAGATAATATAGTCGGGGCGGCGGCATCCCAAACGTGTGAGCAATACTCGATGCTAGGCGTTTTCTGGGCCTTGTATAGAGTGAGAAGATCATGCGGAAGTACTTCTTAGCCCCAAACAAATAGCCTAGCTTTTTCTCAGCAGATCCCGCTACTGACAAAATGTGTTCGTGTCAGATCAAGTCCTCGGTGATCTGGACCAGCCTAAATGAACTGCTCTTTGGCAGAACCTGGCCATCCATCGGAACCGTATGAGCGCTAGGACGCTTTTTATTCGTCACGGTACAGTACTATGATTTGGAAGCATTACACTGTACAAGATTGTTGCGTCCCCAAGCAGTGATAACCTCCAGGTCTCTCGTCAGAGAGGAAGTCGTCGCTAATCTTCTTTTGTCCAGCTCAGCTGCAGAGATCGCCTTGTCACTTTGAATTCCTGCATGTAGAATGCTGTCATTAGCGAAGCTGTGGATTGGGTTGATCGTACAGGAAAGGAGGTCGTTGATATGCAAGAAGAACCGTGTCGGAGCCAATGCCAATCCCTTGGGAACACCCGCGTTGACCTTGCGGGATGAAGAGGAGATCCCGTCAATCACGACGGATACCTTGCGGCCAGCGAGAAAGTCAGCCACCCGTCTGCAAAGCCTTTCTGGGAGGTCATGAGATGGAAGTTTGCATAAAAGGACAGCGTGCCACAGCTGATTGAACGCTTTCGTGGTATCAAGACCAACGACATAAGCCTCACCGTAATACTGGATTAGCTTACTCCACAATTGCGTGACGTAAGCTAGGAGGTCCCTTGTGGATTGCTGGTGTCGGAAACCATACTGCCTGTCGCTAATCAAGCCGAGACGTTCGAGGTAGTCCAGAACCTCACGATTTATGCACCTCTCATCACCTTACTTATAACAGAAAGCAGCTATAGGCCTGTAGTTGTAAGGGTCGGTTTCAGATCCTTTTTTTTTGGGATGGGTTGGACATGGGCAAATTTACAGTTTTCTGGATTCATCAGATATCTGAAAGAGACGCGAAAGAACTGGAGCAAGCTCCGCTGCACACCTCTTCAGTACAATCAAGTCCGGACCAGAAGCTTTGTTGGGGGCGTCCATGGTGGAGTTGGCCGCAAAGATCTTGGCAAGCACTTCAGCCTTGGTCTTCGAGTCAGTTACTAACGTTCCATCCTGACACGTAAGTGATGGAAGGCTACTGTGTGACAAGTTCTTTTCATTCTGCTTGGCCAGCGTCCAGAAAGACCGACTGCCATTTGGCTGCGACATTACCTTGCCACATCCGACATATCTTTCATCATTTTCAAAAAAATTGTTCAAAATCTTCAAATTTGTGAAGTTAGCGAGTTTCACTTCATACGTTGTTACCAGACATGCCCAAATCATCAGTTGCTGCCGTGATATTCATCCCGACCACTGCATCCCCACGGCTAGGAGACCTGTATGTTAAATTTGTATTGATAGGACAGCGGGTTATGCTATAAATCATATGTCACAGTTTTTGTGCACTGATTGCAACGGTTAGATGATACCAAAAATATTTTCATAAATAGGAGATCTTTCCCATTCCGGATCGAACAATCTACCAAAGATGCTTATAATCATGATACCTAGTCAATTTTCACGAAAAAAAATCAAAACCAGCAAATGTAAAAGATTCATGCCGTACCCTCCACCACGAGACTTGGCAACCCTGCGATTGACAGATAGATATGCCCGCCAGTCAAAAAGACAATCAAACAATAAACATTACTAGTTTTTATGATTTTTGGACTTAAAAGACATTATTTCTGAAACATTTTTCATA